TTCTGTTCCATTAATCTGTGTGGCTGTTTTTGTACCAGTACCATGCTGTTTTGATCACTATGGGTTTGTAGTACATTTTGAAGTCAGGGATTGTGATGCCTCCAGCTTTGTTCTTTTTTCTCAGTATTGCTTTAGCAATTCAGGGTCTTTGGTTAACCCATATGAATTTTAGGGTTCTTTGTTCTTTTTCCATGAAGAATGTCATTGGGATTCTGATTGGGATTGCATTGAATCTGTAGATTGCTTTGGGTAGTATGGACATTTTAACTATGTTTATTCTTCCAGTCCATGTGCATGGAATCTCTTTCCATCTCTTTATGTCACCATCTATTTATTTCAGTAACGTCTTATAGTTTTCACTATATAAGTCCTTTACCTCCTTAAATTTATTCCTAGATACTTTATTCCTTTTGTTGCAGTTATAAATGGAACTGTATTCTTGAATTCTCTTTCTTTAAGTTCGTTATTAGAGTATGGAAATGCAACTGATTTTTGTAAGTTGATTTTGTACCCTGCAACTTTACTGTAGTTGTTAATTATTTCTAATAGTTTTCTGATGGATTCTTTAGGATTTTCTATATGTAAGATCATGTCATCTGCAAACAGCGAGAGTTTCACTTCTTCATTCCCTATTTGGATTCCTTTTATTCCCTTCTCTTGCCTAGTTGCTCTGGCCCAAACCTCCAGTGCTATGTTGAATAAGAGTGGTGATAATGTTCTGCCCATTTCTTAATTGGGTTGTTTGTTTTTTTTGCCATTGAGTTGTATGAATTCCTTCTATATTTTGGATATTAAGTATATTATTAATATTCAAAATTAATTATTAGCTATATGATTTGTAAATATTTTCTCCCATTCTATAGGTTGCCTTTTCATTTTGTTGATTATTTCTTTTGCTGTGCAGGAACTTTTTAATTTGAGGTAGCCCCACTTACTAATTTTTGCTTTTGTTGCTTGTGCATTTAGTGTCATATCCAAACAATCATGGCCAAGACCAATGTCAAGGAGCTTCTTTCATATGATATCAGATCTTATGTTTAGGTCTTTAATCCATTTTGAGTTAATTTTTGTGAGTGGTGTAAGATAGGAGTCTTATTTCATTCTTCTGCTTCTATTTATCCAGTTTTCCCAGCGTCATTTATTGATGAGACTATCCTTTTTCCACTGAGTGTTCCTGCCTCCTTTGTCAAATATTAGTTGACCGTATATGTAAGGGTTTATTTCTGGGCTCTCAATTCTGTTCCATTGGTCTATTTATCTGTTTTTATGATAAATAAAACTCAGTTCCATACTGTTTTGATTACTATAGCTTTCTAGTATAGTTTGTATAAGGTATTGACAAACTTGATCACTTGAGATCCTTCCATGTTCTGAATGTTGATTCTCTGTATACCTGTGGTCCAGAAATAATGTCCTTGAATTTGGAATTTATGGGTAGTTACTCTAAACATTAACTTCAATTTCAAATCTTTTATTCTGTTGTCTCATGAATTTATCTTTGAAGTAAAAGGTATGTTTTATGGTAGAGGTCGTTTTATCAGTATTATAAATATCCAGCAAATAGTAAAGAAGCTGTATCTTCCTGGTGTTTCTGTGTATATTTGTATGCATGTGTGTACCTTTTCTCTTTTTTTTTGAAGTTTTTTCTTAATCTCAACAATCTGCTTATTTTAAAGAACTGTAACTGGTGTCAGATCTTTTAAATTTACTGAGACTAGACACCATTTATACAAACCTTTTAAAGATCCACAGTCCTCAGATGAAGTCTTATGTGCTAAAAGGAAAGATTTCTAAGCTTTTTAAAGTCAGTTTTGACACAGAATAAATGCTCAAGAAATATTTATTGATTGAATACAACTTAGAAGCTTATCGATTTCTTGTGTAACATTTGGAGCAACTATAGCTGCAGAAGTGTCATAATAGACATTCAGTTTTCAAGCAAACAGTTCCCTTTGTCTCTTTCCTTCTCCACCACCCCTTCCCTCCCTTCCCCTTCATCATCTTGATTCTTTCTCTTTTAAAAAAGATACGCACTTAGGAAGAAGAAGAAAACCAATGACCAAATGCAATTTGAGTCCTTTCCCACCCCTGCTGTCAGCTTGATATTTTGTTAAATGTTACTACTTTTCACTTTCAAAAAGGTTTAACCAACAGTATTCAATCTGCTTTCTACCAGGTAAACCTTGCCCACCCGCTAACCTTTAGGTCAGTCCCATCGTAGTATTTCTCCCATAATGCTAGAAGAAGGGGAGTAGGCAGGAAGTGAAAATAGAAGTTATATAGCTCTGCTTGCCTGTCCTTTGTTTGCTTGTCTCTAACTACCTTAAACTACTTCCTTCTCATCTTTACAACAGTAAGACAAAATGGTTCCGTCTAAATGGTCCCAAAGCCAGCCCAGACATCTGTAACCTATTATTATGACCTTCTCTCATTAGTAATTGTTCAGCAATTTGTACCTAAAGAAGCCTGTAGCCTACAATGCTCACATAAGATATGGTGAAAGTAGCTTGGGGGATGGCTATGGCAATTATCACGTACCAGGCTATTACAGGTCACTTAAAAGCAGGAGGCTTAAAATACTTAAATATATTTGAATAATGAAGGATTGAGCACATTTTTAGAGTGATCTTTTAGTTTCATTTTAATAAGTATCTACTTGTGCATTTTTGATCTCAGCTTTGGATCTATTATGAAGGTGTCATTGTGCTAAGACTGTCCAAGCAAGAGGTTTTATGTATGTTTGGCAGAATGTGAAAAATAGCCATTCAAAAAATAAATAAAAGAAGAATAAGAAGAAAAGAAGTGAAAGAAGAGAAGGAAGAGGTGAAGGAGAAAACACCAACATGAAAACATGTATGTGTGTCCATCAGTTGATTATAAATCACACACTGTCATTTGCCATGTGTGGTGACAACGGGGAGCAGGTACCACAGAGCAGTAGATACAGCAATTGCAAAAGAAATAATCTCTTATTTATCTTTATGTTCTTCGAGTACCTCTTTTGTTTTATTCCTTTCCCACATGCCCCTTATTGCCATTGCCTTCTCTCAGAGTCAAAATTTTAATAATCATTATACTTGGAGTAGTTTTTTGAACTAAGTGGGCATTCAATACATATTAATTAATGATTGTGATGTACCATGTATTATGGATTGTTGTGTTTTTCTTGGATCACAACCCATTAGCCTGGTCTGACTCATAGAAACCTTTTAGAAAGGTACAACATTAGCAATGACAACAGGCCTTTAAAGAACTGCTTTTGGTTTCATGATGTTGAACACTTAGGAGAATTCCCATATAGGAGTGAAAAATACTTGAAAAGTATTTGATGAGAAAAAATGGGCAGAATGAAGAAGCAGCTGGGTGATTAGTATGGATGTCCTCTAGGGTCCACTTCTGGGGGAATTTGGGATTGTTCTTTGGTTTAACACGGTGTACTCTGCCACCATTCCCCATTCCCCAGTGTTGCTTGCAAGCTTCTCTTAATTCATGCTGTTTGTGTCTGTTGATTATGGTTATTTACCCCCAGGTAATGGAACAGGCAAAAGAAGCCAGAAAAATTCTCTTTGAGTCTCTAAAGCTTTATGCACTAGTGACTGCTAAAGTAGGCTACGCACCCCAGGGATATGCAAAATGAGCAAGTAGCGGCCCTGCTCCTTTTAGTTTATCTTAACTTTCTTTATACCTATTTTTTATGTATGTTTTCTTTGGCATGTAATATATTAGCAATGAAGTATATATATATGATTTATCATCAAGCAATCAATCAATAGACAAAAAGGTTTTGAGACTTCAGGGCAAGACAACATAATATGATGGAAAGCGAATAGGTAAGAATGGTGATGAGATTCAGGAGATAACGAGACAAGTTTATTAGACCAAAGTAAACTATCCTTCTCTTGAAACCCAGGGGTAACTTACGTTGTATTTATACGCATGAAAGAGGGAAGAGAAGGCAGCTGACAGGGACAATCTTCCTTTTCTCTGATTCTGGCTAGTTTTGTCCTGGCTTTTCTGCTTCCTTCACAGAGATTGGAATGGTAGGGGGTACTTACTATTTACAAGCTGTAAAGCAGTCTTCAGCAATTAGGGTTGGCTAAGGTGGGGTGCACTATATCTGTAAATGTAATTTTTCATAGACCCTCAGAGCTCTTTGAATATGTAGAAAGTGCTTTACTTAAGAATTTCCAGTCTAAAAGCATTCACAGACAGGAACCAAGCCATGCCTCATATGTGGGCATTTCAACTTTGATGGCATTAATGATTCTGTGAAAGTAGGACCCTTTATATTATTTTGTTAGTCACAGTGTTTGTGCATAGCTTTGAGATGTTTTACTAGAAGTATTTGCCCTGTCATATCCAACTAAGTGTAAAAACAGTGGGATTGTGGAAAGTACTCATAAGATGAGGTAAATGAAAAGTTTTGAAAATAAAGTAAAGCTAGTCAAACAATTGAAAGTGGGGAGAAAGTGGTGATTGTTGCACGTGAATGTGGAATGAATCTTTGTTCAAATGAATCGTTTTAAAGGACCAATGGTGAATCACTTAAAATACAGTGCCTATATGAGCTACAATAATTAGAGAAAAAAATAATTATGTGGGGGGAGGGGATTGTGAGGAGGTACCTAAGCAGTAGGTTTCAAACCATTCCAAACAATAAGCAATTGATATCTATGTGTCCCAATACATTTATATTTATTTATTCTACATAATATATGTATACAGTTATCATTAGCTAATATCTCAGGGGAAATACACTTAAGGCAAGATTATTTATTAGTAACAGCCAATGTAAATTCAGATTTCAAAAAGCCTTCTTGATGATAATGTTTTTTCTGGAGAGAGACAGTGTATTCTCAGAGCTGGTAAGATCATTGTTAATTTTTCCTTTGTAATGTGGTCAACAAAGAGTTTACACTAAGGGTAGGAGAAATGTCATCTCTGCTTTTTTCTTGTTGTTTACTCATGCTTATATAGTTAATATTCTTTCTGATCCACAGCTTCTTTGCAGAAGAACTTTGAAAGCTACATGTTCCATTTGAGAGTTGGCTTAAACCAGAAAATATAGTCTGGAAATGCACTGAACTGGGCATACACACTGAAGCAAATTGCAGTGTGCCAAAGGAGAGACAGAGAGAGAGGGTACCACTGTACCTCTCTACACTGTGGGCTGGCCCTTCTTCCCTCAGGACATGCATACCAAGTAAGGATGCAAGTGTCAGTTTTTATATTAAATACTAGTAAATATTAATTCCTTTTGATTTTTAAGATAAAAATATTTTTTAATATAACTTCTAATAATTTCTTCCTGCACTTCCATGGATCATCTTTTGCATTTTTCAAAGTATGCACATCTCCTTTTGGAAGACCTTGGCCTAGAAGATCAACGTCAATGTCAGACATCTATTAGCTTGATATTAATTCTGAAGAGAGTTAGGTTTATTCAAGAAAGTAAAGGCTGAAATGGCAACAAAACCTTTGGGAAGCCTTTATTCTAAAGGTTTACTGCTCATTTGATTTTGTGCAACATCAAAGTGTTTAGATACTGAATATTAAAGCTACTGTGAGATTTTCTATAACTCAAACTGGGAGAGATGACACTTGACATTACTATATTTTGATACATTTTGATGTAAAAAAAATTTTCAGACAGTAAGAATGAAGGAAGAGAAGAATATTATTTGTTTTAAAGTGTTGAAGGAAAGATTTGATCTCTTACTTGGTGAAAATTTATCATAACTTTAATATCTAGCAGCATGGCCAGATAGAGATCCTGGCTGACTCTCCTGTTAAACTGGATAAATGCTGTATAAAATATATAAGAAGTATTTTTAAAGGTGCTGATGAGCTGGCAAGAAGATAAAGATTCCTGAGAGGTCAAATACGAAGTGAAAGTAGGAACCCAGAGTGGCAAGCTGAGCACGCTGACGCTGGTTGAACCTCAGTGACTTTGAGATTCAATTTTCACACTGTGGACTGGATGCAAAACATAGGACCTACTCAAGGAGGGAAATTTAATTAGGAGACCTCTGACATAAAGCTAAAACCTCAAAGCATTATAGCCTGAGAGTAAGGGTAAAAATATAAAAACCTGAATTCCCTGGAGAAAGTAAGAAAAATGGTCTCTTTCAAGTCTTGGTGATGGGAAGAGGAGGAAAAAAAATCTCCTGAGTATTCTCAGCTACTAATGAGTCCTTGCCTAGGTTTGTAGCCCAAACACATACTATCTGGGTGGGCTGAAAAATCTTAACGCCAGTAACTAGGTGTAAAGGGGTGTTAGGTGAACCATGCCCACGTGTATAGGACAAACAAACACAGATGTATGGAAAAACCCAGGCCCAAATAATTCCCAAAGATTGAACTTCCAATAAACGTGAGCTCATAGTCAAAAATCGAATAATACCCATGGAAATAAGACACTATGAACAAGAGCCAACAGAATCAGACCCGCAAAACTTCAGATTTAGTTGCAAATGTTGAACACAAATGTAAAATAAATGTATGTATATGTTTAAAGGAATAAAGGAGAGAATATAATTAGGGGTAAAGAACAAGAAACTAAAAGATTTCCAAACACATTTAAAAAGAGCCAGATATAGTAATTGAAATGACAAACTCAATGGATGGAATTAAGAATAGATTAGACATAGCTGAAAACTGAATGATGATTGTAAGAAAGATCCAATGAAATTATGTAGAATGCAGCACAGAGAGCTCTACCAATAACGAGCAGTTAGGAAATGTGGTTGGAGTCTCAGAAGAGAGGAGAGAGAGAATGTATGGGAGAGGCAATACATGAAGAAATGATGGTTGAAATTAGCAGAAACAGATTTCTTAGATATGAGAAGCCCAGAGAATCCTAAAAATAGTAATTAAAAAGTGGTTAATAACTAGACCAATCTTAGGGAAATTGCAGAACAATGAAGACAAAAAGAGGATCTTAAAGATAGCTAGAGACAAAAGAAGGGTTGCCTATAAAGACGTGACAATTAGACTGTCAGCCAGCTTCTCAGCAGCAACAATGGAAGCCAGAAAACAGTGGAATGATACTGTCAAAGTGTTGAGAAAACCTAGAATTGTATACCCTATGAAAATATTTTCCAGAAACAAGGATGAAAAAAGTGATTTTCAGACAAATATATATCAAGTGAGTTTGCAATCTAAAGAATGTACTTGACCCAGGAAGGAGGTGATCCCAGTTGGGAAGTTTGAGATGCAATAAGGAAGAATTTTTAAAAAGTGGTAAATAATAAGTAAATTCAAGCAAACATTAACTGTGTAAAACAATAATGATTAATTTATGAGGTTAAAAAGTAGAAGTAAAATACAGGACAATAAGAAATATAAGTTGGAAAGTTGTTATTGGAGTCAGTGTTCTATAGTTTGCATGCTTATAGTTTAAGAGATATATACAACTATATGGTTATATAGTTTAAGAGAAGGATAAAGTTACTAAGTTTGGGCTTTGATAAAGTAAAACTGCATGTTTAACTTATTGGGTAATCACTGAAACAATGGAAATAAAATATACAACATCTAAATTAGAAGAGGAAAAAATGGAAAGAGAAAAATACTTAACCTAAAAACAGTTGAGAAAGTAGAAACAGAAAGGAACATAAAAAGAAAAACAAAAAGCACAAATTATATGGTAGAAATAAATGCAAAAAAATTAGCAATATGAACTTAACATGCCAATTTAAAGGTTGTTAGACTGGATTTCTTAAAATCCCCAGCTGTATGATGTTTACGAGACCCTTAAAAAGCATAGAGATATAGAAAAGTTGAAAGTAAAGGTATTCAAAATGAAGCTGCCTGCAAATATTAACCAAAAGTAAGTAGGCAAAATATAGCAATACCCAGCAAAATGGACTTTAAGACAAGGGTAAGGAAAGCAACTTGAGATGAAGAGGATAACTTCATTATGCTAAAATGTTCAATTAACCAGGAAGATATAGTACTTCTAAATTTGTGTGTATATAATACTATAGCCTCAAAACACATAAAGTAAAACTTGATAAAACTTCAAGCAGATATGAATAAATCCACCATCATAGTTAGAGAAAGAATGCATTGTCCCACATAATTAATAGATCAAACAGACAAAAAAATAAGTTAGGCTATAGAAGATTAGAAAAGTGTAAATAACAAGCTGTTCCCAATGGATATCTATATAGAACATGACACCCAACAAATGGGAGCTGCACAGTCTTTTCAATCATACACTCATAATATCTAAGGAAACTGAATAGATTGTAGTTCATCAAATTCTAAGAGTGCCATCATACAGACCATATTCTCTCGACATAATGGAATAAAGTAACCAAGTTAAAAAACTAGAAAAACTTCCTAAGTTTTGGAAGTAAGGAGCATGCTATGTATACTATCTGCGTGAAAGAAGAAATTATAAGAAAGAGAAACAGAAAGAAAGAGCAATGAAAATATTATAAAGATTTTTGGTACTTAAAGGGAAATTTGTAGCATTAAACTGCTTATATTAGCAAACAAAAGAAAGGTTAAACATTAATAGGTAAACAGCCAATTCAGAAGTTAGAAAAAATGAACATAATAATAGAATGAAATTAAAGAAAGTAGAAGGAAATAAATGATAAAGATAAGGGCAGAGGGGCTGGCCTGGTGGTCTAGTGGTTAAGTTTGCCTGCTCTGCTTACACGGCCTGGGTTTCACAGGTTCAGATCCCAGGCACGGACCTAGCACCCCTGGTCAAGCCATGCTGCGGCAGCATCCCACATAAAATAGAGGCAGATTGGCACAGATTTTAGCTGAGTGACAGTCTTCCTCAAGCAAAAGGAGGAAGATTAGCAACAGATGTTAGCCCCGGGCCAGTCTTCCTCAGAAACAAAACAAAACAAAAAAGATAAGAGCAGAAATTTAATGAAATTGAAAATAAAGATGCGATAGAGAAGATGTGTAAGAGCTACCTCAGGAAGAACCAATCAAAAAAGAAGAGGAAGATACAATGTCAGAAATAAAAACCAGTGTAAAGAATGAACAGGGGGACAAAATTTCAATTTCTTCAGAGATTTAAGCAATAATAATAGATCATTATAAATATTTTATACTAATTAATTTGAAAATTTATTTGAAATGGAAAAATTTGGGGGAAAATATAATTTCCGTGACTCCAAAGAGAAAGGGATGACCTGAGTAGTCCCACAACAAAGAAATGGGATCAGTAATGCAAATGTTCCACACAAAGAAGACAGCCCCTGATGGTTTTACTGGAGAATTCTGTTAAGATTATAAGAAATATATAAATTTAATTTTGTTCAAATTATTCCAAAATAAGAAAGAGAAGAAACAGTCATGGACTCATTTTATGAAACTAACATAAATTCATACTAGGACCTAAAAAAAGAAAATTGTAGGCCAATCTTACTCAGAAATATAGACACCAAAATCCTAAGTGAAACATTAATAAATTCAACAATGTAAAAAGGTAATACATATGATCAAGTTGGTTTTATCCTGAAAATTTAAGATTAGTTTGACATTAATTAATGTAATTCACTACATTAACAAATTAAAGACAAAAATTGTGTGTTATCTCAATAGAGACCAAAAAAATATTTTATAAAATTTATAATATGGGGCTTGCCCTGTGGCCAAGTGGTTAAGTTCACATGCTGCCCTTCGGCGGCCCAGTTTTGCCAGTTCGGATCCTGGGCGCGGACATGGCACTGCTCGTCAGGCCATGCTGAGGCGGCATCCCACATAGCACAACTGGAAAGACCCATAACTAAAATATATGACTATTTACTGGGGGGATTTGGGGAGAAAAAGCAAAAAATAAAAAAAAAAAAGATTGGCAACAGTTGTTAGCTCAGGTGCCAATCTTAAAAAAAAAAAAAAAACAATTGTAATAAAAATTCTTAGCAAATTAAAAATAGGAGGGAACTTCCTTAACCTGAAAAAGGGTATCTACAAAAGATCCGCAGAGACTATTACACATAATGTTGAACTAAAAGCTTTCCCTTTAGGATCAGGAATAAGACAAAGGGGCCTAAATATTATCAATGAATAATAAAATTAAAATTATGCTGAAGATTCTAACCTGTGTAGTAAGGTAAATAATATATAAAAAGATAGAAAGGATGAAACAAAACTCTTTTTATGCAAATGATATGATTGTCCAGTAGAAAACCCGGACGAATCTACGGTAAATCAGTAAAGTTAGATTAGACA